TGCTACTTTAAGGTAACATCACATTAATAAAAATCAAGTTAATGCATACAAACCAATGAGACTACTACCAGAGTACTATTCAGCTTGAGAAGGAACACCAGAATTGTTCTCTCTAAATAAAACATTGTTTCCAAAAACAATGATGAAATTCATTTGGTTATACAGAGCACAGAAAGTCCTTACCTCAGTGCTAAATGGAAAGGTACATGGACAGTTTTTACACTTCCAGAGACTGGATCAACAAGGCATATCTGGTAAGTCTGGGGCTGCCATCCCTGACTGGTCACATTGTTTAGACCCATTATTTTATAACCAGGATACAACAATCTGAAACAAACAAAAAACACAGCCTTTACAACGAAGAACAAAATTAGCAACCTTCCCTTTCCACACACTGAATAAAAAGATGACAAATTTTATAAAGCTAAGGTTTAACAACTGCTAAATGTATTTATCAGGAAAGACTGTAGAGTGATGAAACATGACAAAAACCCCTTCTATAAAACAACAAGAAGCTGCCTTCAGTAGAAAAATTGTGGGCAACGCAAAAAGCTCCTGCCAGCACTTTCCACTTTTACCACTGGCATATCCACGAATCATTTTGTTGCAGGAGCACAGCCAATATGCCTACCTACTAACTGTTTCTTACCTACAATATTTCCCCACATTGAAGGCGCCAACCCGAGGCCCTTGCTGCGTGCTCCATACTTCCAGAATGCCTCTCCTCGGAGCATAAATCACAAGGAACTGAGCCACTCTGCTTGGACCATGTGCATTTCCAAAAGGAGAAAAATCCATCTTCTCAGTTTCCCTTTCATGAAGGTCCTCTACAGTCTGTATCCAACCAACTTCTGCATCACGGTATCCTTTGTAAGAGAAGACAGAAGTTCATTAGCGTACAGAAATTAATACATGATTAGCACACATCACCACCCACTCAAGGACTATTCCAGCAGCAAGCTGTCTTAAACTTTGTTTCAAACTGTGCAACTCTGGCCAGTAGCCAGACTCCTGTCAAGAACCGTGGTCCATCGTCTCGGAGCAGGGCCCACCAGAGGACTCCTCAGAGCCAAATGCAGCCTCCTGCAAAGCTTTGGGGAGGAACAAGTTGTTACCCAAAAAGCCACAAAAAAGCCCAAAACTCATCAGGTCTGAACTCTGGACATTACACCAACGCAAAAGCTTCTCGGGTAAGAAAGATCTGTAGCAAGTGTCCAGATTTCTCATGTTTCAAAACAACATGAAGATTTAAGGAAGAAATGTGCATAACCTATTAAACAAGATATGTAAGTTTTTATTCATATGTTTTCATTCACATGTTTTCATGATTAAAACGTAATTTTTAGTAACCCCCTCTCTTTCTCTCTGGGTAACGCAAATATTTTCCCTCATAAAATCTTCCTAAACAAAAAAGGCAGAGATGCTCTAATGATATCACTAAACTATGTAGTGATTTAGCAAGTACAAATGAAGACTCCAAACCACAAGTGAAATACTAATGTATAAAACAAATTTATAAACAGATATATTATACCAAGAAGGTTGAAAAGTATAACTCAATTAATGAGAAAGATCCAAAAGATTTAATTCAGTAGACAGCTTTCCAAAAAAAAAAAAACCCAAAAAAAACCAACCCAACATTATTTCACATCTTAAGAGCCTCACTGGGGAAAGGCTGGCAAATTGTAAATATGTGTCTGACTATCAAATAAAGCTTAGGACTCTAACAGTACTTCCTAGATAATATGAAGCTCTCAGTAATGAAGAAAAAAAAAGTCTAAGAATATCATGTTATACCCAATAAGCTTCAGAATGTGAGAGAAGGAGAATGCACAGGGGAAACGTGATTACTTTAGCTATTACACTGTTAGTGTGTCGCTGAAGTAGCTGCTATATTCATGACCACTAATCTTCTGAATTGGTAGTGTGGCAGAGAGAAAGCTAGAGATTTTCTACCTGTTCTTAAAACTTATCTTCCATCTCCTAAAAAGCTGCAAAATTTTAATTCTATAGAAAAAATAAGTTGTTGTAACATTAGGTATAATTACAATTTGAGAGCTTAACATCTGCATTTTTTTTTAAAAAGCCCTCAGTTTAGAAGAGACTGAACACTCCCTTCTTGCGCAGTCACCATGACGAAATGAGAATCTAACAAGTTATATATCTTCTTACTGATTTTTCAAACTTCTGTTTATTTTCTCAGCAGAATTAAAGAAGATACTAGAGCTTATCAAGAGAAAGAATCTTGGAGAATAGAGCTACAGCTCTTCCAAAAAAATTATTAGTCAAAAGCTTTCTGTTGGGATACAATCTCTGGGGAAAAAAAAAAGAAAAAAAAAAATCTATACAATACAAACCAACCAGACCGAATTTTTACTATAGGTCATATCAGTATTTCAGGGATTGGTACAACAATACCCTTATGGACTTTATATTACATCTGCCTTTAATATTTGGTTTGTAATAACACAATATACTAAAGTCTTTCTTAATAATGGAAAAACACTTGGAATTCTAAGTCTAAACATAAGAAGCCATAGTATTTTGAAGAATATTATTTGCTATACTAATATACACCATCATACCTTTCCACATGCGAACTGCAAGTCCTCTTGTAACATCCAGTAAAATAACCCTTCCAAAATCATCTGTTACTGCTGCCAAAGTGTTACATGGAGAAAGACATATCCTTTCACCATGGCGACGAGAATCTGGAAGTCCAAACCTTAAAAAAAAAAAAAAAAAAAAAAGTCAAGCAAAACCACTAGATACTCTGGTTACTATTTCTGAAGAAAAATAGGTATCTTATATGAACCAAGATTTCTTTTTTAAGGTAACATAAAGGTATGGGTAAAATTAAGAGCAAAGTATGAAAAACGTTTTTGTGCTGTCTACTGGGAGATCTCGTAGATTTGTTAGACTCCTACTGAAAACCAAAGTTCAGAAACTAGGATAAGCGATTGCCTTGTCATGCACTGTCAGGCAAGGACCTCAGAGCAGTGGGTTACTTTGTAAGTCCTCCCTTATTGCCAACTAGTCTTGAGAATACTTTAAAAAAAAAAGTATCAGGAAAAACAATCAGGAATTAATTTAGTCTCTTATCAGCTTTCTTGAAAACAACCCGTTGTTCCCATTCTCCTCTCTCCGCAATCAACAGGATACCTCCTAATTTTTGTGAGGGGCTTTAAACTATCTAAGCAGCAAGCACTTCATGCGGCTTCTTTGAAGCTCTTCAGGAATGATATTTGTGTACTTATACTGTCAATAAACTGTGCACACTGTTCTTTTACAGCAACAACGAACCCACACACTGGAAGTGAGAGATGAGTAATTTGTCCAGAATGATAAATTGAAATGAAACAAAGCTTAAAACAAATGACCTGCAAACTATCATCACTGCTTCAAGTAAAGAAAAATAAACATGTTCATCAATGATGCACCTCTCAAAATAATTCAAACAATTAAATACACAAGAGATTTAAAGCAATTGAGACAGTATGTAAAACTTACCTCACTGCCAACGGGGTTGCAGGTTCAACTTTTGGTTTCTGTTTTTGGGCAGGTTCTTCTTCATGTTTACTTTTCCAACCAAGCCAGCCACTTGCAATAGAAAAACACATTAGGAGAATCATACTAACGGTCCTAAAATCCTCAAACTATTACGTAGCTACTAAACCAAAAATAATTTAATGTAATTTTTTATGTCATTACCTGGCAGCATTAAATAATGCTGAAGTCAGTTTACTTGCAACTGCTAAGGCAACATGAGACAACAGTGGCTGTGAGCTACCCTGAAAGAAAGAAATAAGGTCTTTAGAAAGTCAAGAAATAGTCAGCTGTGAGCCACCCTGAAATGAAGGAACAAAGTGTTTAGAAAGCCAAGAAATAGTTCTTACACTGAACTCAACTGCAGAATAGTTTTTCAGGCCTCCTATGGACTTTCAGCTCAGAAAGCATAGCTTTAAGACTCTGCAAAATTTTAATTCATTGCCCCCAGAAAAGCCATTCTGACATCTCTTTACCATTTCAAAATCCTCCTGCAAGTCACTGGTAGCTCAGTATGTTTGTCTGCAACAGAAGTTAAAAAAACCCTGTGTATGATTTATCATGGAGAGTTAGCTGGTGTATGGCTTTGGCATCCTTGCAAATATCAACATAAGCAGTTTTTTCATAAACATATTGGAAAAGGAAGTACAAAATCAAAATTCCGATTCTAGCATTTTCAATCAACTTTCAATCCAGATAAGGACAGCACACACATAGGGTCTGAATGTACAAGACACACAGCTATATTGCCATCCTTCTCCTCCCATACAACAGAAGACAACGTAAGTGTGCTACAAGTGTCATTAAGCATAAGTTGCAGTTTTCTTCTACAAGTAGTAGCTCCACTATATGAAATCACCACAGTATATTCAGGCTATATGTGTACGTGATCAAAGGCCAAAGGCCTCCAAAAATCCCTAAGATGCATGTTTACACAATCTCAACCTAATTTTTAAAAAACTTTACATTACTTAATTGTCAATAAATTAACAACTGAAAAAATAAAAAACCTACTTGACTATCACAGTCATTTTAAGATAAAAAATAAAATTAGCAGGAACCTGTGGTAGACATTACTATCACATCTATTCCAAATCATTCCAGTTTCAGAAGATCAAGAAGAGGGGAAAATGTCAGCACAAAATGAACATAGGAATACTTCAGAAATACCCACACAGAAAGGAGAAGGATTAATTATTCAAAGTTTCAGCAAGTCAGCTTTGTAGTACATACCTCCAGGGCAAAAAAGAAACCAGTGAAAGGATTGGATCCAACAGTAACATACTGAGACATAGCAGGTGGGCTGTTTTTTATAGCTGCATTATATCCACCTATATTGGATGCAGTCTTCATTTGATCAAAAGGAGACAGTGTCATGATGCCTAACAAAAACATTAAAGTGAATGTCTTATACTTTCAGAACAAAGGTATGCAATTGCTCTAAAAGTCTAAATATATTCCTGCCTTCTTGACTGACCAGCCAACATTCAGAGGGAAGGGAGGAGGAGCAGCTTTAACCACAGAAACTCCAAAGAACAAAGCAGAAATAAACTAATGTACTTAGGTTAATTATAAAGCATAATTGATTGGTTTAGAAGAAAAAAAATTCAGCAATCTACCAAATTCGCTTCACCTGCCTCGTTAGCCCCCTTCTGACCTCTTACCTGCTTTTGTGAAAAGGGTGGAAGAGAAATGAAGCTTACTGTCCCTCAGATCTGCCTGTCTGACAAGAACCTGGGCTTCTGCAAATTCCTAAGGAGTAAAAGTCTTTGAAAGCCTAGAATCAGTTTGTCTTTTGTGGAAAGGAGCAATCTCAAACTTTAGTTTCTTTAAGTGCTAGACTCAGGAAACACCCATACCAGTCTTAGCCTGCCTGCCAGACAGTTCTTTAACCTGGCAGAAATGGGAATAACGGCATCTGATCTAGTCTCTCTTGGCTGTTTCTTGCCAAACAAGAGAGGACAAGACAGCTACAGCTGTAACATCCTTTCTCCCCTCAAGTGGAGAGGGGAGGCTCAATCAGACTAGAAGAGAAAGTAAAATATATTTTTGATGACGGTTAATGAGATCATTCACTACGACAGCCTTCTCCCACTATTTATTTCTATCCAGCCAGTACCACTAAGTGCTCTCACCCCAAATTTAACAGCACGACAATATTCAGTTTCATTTAAGCCAAATATTTAAAATTAAACAGAAGTGCTTACCAATACTAGCATGGTCAACAATCGTGTCCACATCTTGCAAACCCCATTTCTTATAAGCTAATGGTGGAGGCTGAACATTCTCATTGCCAGATGCTGCAGCTGACAAAAGTTGATAAAACACAAAAAAAATCCTACTGAGTAAAAGACAAAGTAATAACATAACAGAGGGGAAAAAAAATTGATGTAATCTGAAGCCACAAAATAACCTAGTTTTAAATTAACATACATTTAAATACCATTTCAGCAAAAATGGCCTTTTGAAATACATGAATTCATGAAATTAAAACATTTTAAAACTGAATAAAATTGCACATGATATTCTATTACAACTATATTTTGTGCTTGCAGAGAGCCTTGTTTTACTAGTCATTTATGGTTTAATATTCTGTACAATTTTAAAACACTACTACAATTTATTTCTGTGGTCTGGGCATGTTTAAGTGGTAAATCCCCTGCCAAAGTACTTGCAAAGTCAGCACATTCACTAGATATCTAACAGTGTGAGGTAAGAACAGTGGTAAAACTAAAGCAATGATTGAAACTCTTCAAAGTACCTATTACGACAAACATAAATGATCAAGAATGAAAGAAGATAAAGCACTCCAGCTGCAGATATCACAACTAGCTGTAAGTACTTCTCTGCAAATGGTGATCTTCTCTCACTGAAAGAGTAGAGCGTGTTCTGGTTGTGAAAGTAGATGAATATTTCTCATTATAGTGTCTATTTCTCTTATTTGTTGCATGATTCACATAGTATCAGTTTTTAAAGTTCTGATTTGCAAGTTTTGCTTTCTCTTATATTCCATGGAAATACTGCCTTTTCATTAAGAGGATAAGAATAGGCATTATTAGATAGATCCAGGGAACCATTTAGCACAGCAGATCTGCATCTGAGCACAGATAAAACCAGATGTCTAGGGAAGAGTATTAAAAAAAGGACACGTATCTGATGCTTCCTGTAAACCAGCTTCTAAAGAGACCTTCTCAGCCCGAGGTAAGCTCTAAGCACTCAGTAAACCTCCACAGCTTTCTTCTCCACTAATTTGTCGATTTCCGTCTGAGCCCAAGCAAGCTTTTAGCATCCGCACCAACCTCAGGCTAAGAATTCTACAATTTAACCTCACACTGCATAAACACCCATCTACTTTTTATTTTGAATTTACTATCACCTAGCTTCATTTCATGCCACTTCATCCTGAACTGGAAGAAAGAGTGAGTAATCCGTTCCTATGAGCCATCCCCATATGATTCAGCTAAGAGCTGTCTCATCACAGTAGCATTTCTCAGTTCTTTACCACTCATCCCTCCTATGTAAGATTCAAGCCTTAGTTTAATGGTGCTGCTCTCCCAACAGTTCCTAATGCTGTCATGCTGGCAGATCTATTGTGCTTCCCACCTACACCCAGCCTCATGATTGTCTGCTGAGGTGGCCTGCTGTACAGGAAACAAGAATCTGACTAATCTGAAGTTCAATGAGAATAACCATCAGGAGAACAACAGCACCTGTTTAACGTTTTATCTTGCAAAACCGTAACAGCCCCATGCTTGTGCAATCTACCACACAACATTGTTAGGTGCTTCTCCTCTCACCCCAGGAAACTGACCCTGTTTCTAAATTAGAGTATAAACAGGCACTACACTAAAGGAACAGGATCAAAGGCTGCACAATCAAACAAGGCGTCAAAAGCCCTCAGGCATTAACACAAAGAAGAGTGACCATTACCGATGTCATCATCACAGCATTATCCCTTCCCACAAAGTCCTCACTGGGAAGAAAAGCATTTCACTGACAGACAGTGAAATCAGCATCCTGACATGCTAAGAAGCACCTTAGCAGCATGCTGTGGGTTAACCCCAGCGGGCACCTTAGCACCACACAGCCACTTGCTCACTCTCTCCAAGTGAGATAGAGAAAAGAATCAGAAAGGTAAAAGTGAGAAAACTTGTGGACTGAGATAAAGACAGTTTAACAGGTAAAGCAAAAGCTCTGCGTGCAATCAAAGCAAAATAATGGATTCATTCACTATTTCCCATCAGCAGGCAGGTGTTTAGCTGTTTCCACGAAAGCAGGGCTTCGTCATGCGTAACAGTTACTTGGGAAAACAAATGCCGTAACTCTGAACATCACCCCCCTCCTCTTAACGCTGGGCACGACATTATATGGTATGGAATATCCCTTTGGTCAGTTGGGGTCAGCTGTCCTGGCTGTGTCCGCTCCCAATTTCTTCTGCACCCCCAGCCTGCTCGCTGGCAGGACAGTGTGAGAAACAAAAAAGGCCTTGACGCTGTGTAAGCACTGTTCAGCAATAGCTAAAATATCGGTGTGTTATCAACACTGTTTTCATCACAAATCCAAAACACATCACCATACCAGCTACTATGAAGAAAATTAACTCTATCCCAGCCAAAACCAGTATACAGTATTGTGGCGAGAATGTACGAGACAGTCAATGCTGCTCGGTCAACTTGTGCTCCGAGAACATCTTCTGTAGAGGAAGACATTTCCTTGTATGCCTATATATTGATGGACAAGCAAGGATCAAATCCACCTTGATTTGATATTTAACAAACGTAAGTAACTTTCATGTAATGTAAAGTACTATTAACAGAGTCAGAAATAAACATTTCCTCTCAAACGTACCTCTTGCTACCTGATTGCGACATGCACGAAGGGACTGAAAGAGGCTGAAACCATCGATTGTCACAATTGCTGCTGGGTACAAGATACTTAGTTCTTCATTCTGTGGAAGAAAATGAGAGAAGGGACACACAAAAAAAAAAAAAAAAAAAAAAAAAAATCACTGTGACTGTTGTAACAGCTTCTTTCCTAGCTTTTTATACTATTAAGTATAGGAAGATGAGGATTACATGCAGAGAGTTAATATCTAACAAGCCCCAGGCAACAGAATAAGGCAAAACTACAGAAATTCAGTATTAAACCAACCAATATATGAGTAAGTTATTTAGGCATGTAATTTTATATTTTTATCTTCTTTCAATGACTTTTACATTTGCTTACTATATTATATGTCTTAGGGAGAAAACACAAAAGTTACAGCAGCTTGTGAAGGCCACAGAAGAACAGGTTTATCTAGAATGCAAGCATCAAGGTTTTATGAGCCAAATTCTGAAATTGGATCAGCGCCTGAATTGCCACTCGGGCACAATAAATGCTAATTTGGTGATATAAATTCAAGACTCAAATTCCTTAATGCTTCTGTATTTCAAAACTGATCCCAAAATGTCATGCTAAATCACATGAGCATTTGTATACAGCAAACTTGGAAACTTCTGTAACTTCATTAGTTTTCTGCATAAAGCATGCCAACTCAGCCAAGAAAGCTGGCTTTTCTACTAAATAGCTTGAGCTCTACAAGAGCCTTCTCTGCAGGAATTACTCATAATGACATGCAGGTTCCTAGCACTATCTTCTATACAGATTGTTTTCATTTTCAGCTATCTTCTCTGTGAAATAATTAAGTTAAGTTCTTATGAATGAGTACATACAGCTCTTGGCACCTGTCAAGTTGCATTTTCTCCTTTCATCCATACATTATTGTATTTTGTGCATGTTAATGAATAAACAGGAAAGGAATGAAGCCTTCCTTTGCAAGGTTATCACACAGAAACATAGAACAAATCCATAGAGCTAACTAAATACTCCCAAAAAAAAAAAAGAAATTCTGAATCCTCAAACTATCCAGGCATGAACACTTCTAGAACAAGAAATCCAGAGTTTCTTGTTCTAAGGAATTGTCCACCCATCAAAAACTGGTAAAGGACTTAGAGGATTCACAGAGAAGATTCCCTTCCATACCCCATAACACTGCCACTTCGCTTTTGAAATAATCAGACAAAACCTGTTCTGTGACACCAGGATGCCTGGGAATTTCATAGGTTCTGCACTTAAGCTGTAGGACAGGATCTTCATTTAAAAGCTGTGCAAGAAGCAGTACTCCACTCTAGAAGAGAAAGAATAATAAGCGTGAACATTTCTGTCCCTTTTCTTACAGAAGGCAAAAAACACTATCTGCAGAAACAGAAGTTTTATAGAAACAGATGTTTGTTACAATAGCTTGTGGGCCTGCCATGCTGAGAAACATACCTCGGTGTAAAAACGAACATAGCCAGAGGTGAAGCCAACGACAATGCAGGTCCAGTCAGGACGGCCTGTGGAACTCCTGTTTCACAAAGATATGCTAGAAGTTAAAAACAAATCCTGCTCTAAGCTGTAGACATACAAAAGTATAAGGTAAGGGTACTGATGATGCATATACATAAGAACATCAATCCTTACCTCTTCTGACTTGCCAATGGGATACACAATACACTACTCACACATTCACTAGAAACAGAAAGATAAAACTAATAAGCATATTTTTTCTCCAGTTGTGAAATTTTGCTCTACACAAGAGATCTTGCTTAGTCAGCATTTTAATATTTTAACAATATATTAATGCAGCATACAATTTATCAAATTCATACTAAAAAGGCAAGAAACACCCTTTCATTTTAAAGACATTTTCAATTACAAGTTCAAGAGTGCCCAAATAGATGGCATGAGTGCTTATTACACCTTGTTAATGTTGTCTTTCATCATTCACAGACTAATTATTCTGCCAGTACTCTTCAGTAAAGATTTAAGCTAAATCTCATGTACCTAAAGGTAAATAATTTTTTCTGGTCTATAATGATATACCAAGAACAACCACTTTTTTTAAAAAACAACTGAACTATCAAAATAAATTTTTGAAATACATTATGCAATTAGGTAGATTTTATATCCATTGCATTTCACCACTTAGTAATTTGAGAGCATTTGAAGAGCTAACATGGTCTTCCCAGTTAATGCAGTAACTGAGCATCCTAAATGCACGGCAGACAAAGCATGCAGAAGGCAAGCAGATGAGCAGGCCTCAATATCTCAAATCAAAAGTTATTTAATTGTTACCACAACAGAAAGTTTTACACTGTCTGGGGAAACAGAAGCCGTACAAAGGTTTTACGCAAGAGCATATAAATTCAAGATGACATCCCAAACAGCACTTAAAGCATAAATGCCTGCAGAACTGTTGATTATTTGCATTTCAGGTCACCTCCATTCCCCAAGGAGTGATTAAATAATCAGGCTAGACAATTACAGAAAAAAAAGCTTTCTAAATGCAAGTCTGACATGAGTTGCAATTCAATTACAACTTCAAAGTAATGTTAAATATTCTAGTGAAATCTCATCTTCCAACAGCAAAGCTTAGCCACCACAGAACGTTATCAGTTGAAGGCAACTTTGGGCAAAAAAAGAAGTCAAGTCTTTCAACAATCTGACAGTAATTGCCATATTTACACTTCCACAGAAATAGAACCCTCACCTACAGGAAACACTCGCAAGCCTTAAATCAAGATGTAGTGAATATAACTGTTTCTATCTAAAGAAAGCTACCTGTTCCATATGATAGTGTCTCTTGGGGCTGTAGCAGTAGTACGAAACCAACCCCCAAACAGAATTTCTTTTCGTTTTTTTTAATAAAAGATGACAGGATAATTTCAGTGGTAGCATGGGGAGAAAAAACTTAAAGAGATGTAAATAAAACAGTTCAAATGTGTGGCAGCAGCTGGTTTATAAAAAAAGGATTATGATTTTTACAGATTGGAGAGAGGCTGATTAAGTCAACACCTCCTGCAGCATAACAGAAGGTTGAAGCCAATAGGGAGCATGTTCAAAGGCAGACAGCAACTCAAGGCTGCAAACTTAATAACGAAATGCAAAATACTCTTCCATATGGGAGATTTGAGAAAGCATCTGTCTGGTTATTTGAAGACAGATCGAGCAGAAATATTGTATAAATACCAAATGTATGACCAAAGCAAATTTTCGAAATCCGCTAAATGCCTTGGAGCTCAAAAGCATTTCTAAAAGTGACTGGAACACGTAAGAGGATATTTACAATGGAGGTAAAAAATGAAAAGCATAGATGAAATTCACTGCATCTCAAAAGATGAACACTTTCTATCACATAGATGTTGCTCACTGCTGGAGTAACTTCTTGATCCGAGAAATGACTTTATATCTGCTTGAGGTTTTGAAAACTAAAAGTATTTCTAAAACAACTTCATACATTTTCAGTTGCAACATCCCCTAATAAGATTTCATCTCTACTGTAAAAGTAGATTTTCAAAAAGGGTACATATACTTTTGTTCTTCCTTCTAGAACAGGAACTTAGAAAAAGCATGATAACCCAGATCTATTAAAATGTCTACATTATATGCAAATACACTGATTTGCACACACAGTACCTCTGTTAATTTGTACGAACTTGTCCTGAGATATCACACTATGCAAGAAGAGTGACCTTTGCAGACATTGTTTCTGATCACCCAGGTTACTTCATTTCCGTTTTCAACATTAAAATGCGTAAGACCATGAATGCACTTGGATGAGAGCAAAAAAAAAAAAAAAGGACAAATAAAAAGCATATGCTACTAATTATTAAACATGAAAATGACATTTTAATCACAGTTGTATTTCAACACCTACCCTTCTTCAACATTCAGAGAGCCACTCCAGCCAACAGCATATTGCATCTCCTCTTTTCCCTTGTCACCGTGCTTCCATTTAGCTGCCATTAAGAACAAAGACACCATCTATAAAACTGTAATGTTTTGCATCTCACAGATGTAGTTCTATTCCTAATCCTTCTCTTCTGTATGATACATCCTACCACATTTAGATTAAGTACAATTACAAACCTTGAAGACCATAAAAATAACACTGTGTTGTTTAGTGACTTCTCTAAAGAACTCCCATGTTTTCTTACAAATTTACATGGAACAACATACTACTGAAATTCCGAAACGCCTAGTTTCGTTTAAAAAGATTTATACAGTAATATCTACTTCATCAAGTTTTAAAAGGTTCAATTAATGAAACAGGGATCTTTAGGAGAAAAGTACTAAGCAAGGGCAAACTTCTTCTGGGATGATTACTGAAGATGAGCTTAAACAAATAGAAAATTTTAATTTTAACCCCCGAGAAAGACATGGGAATCCTACATTAAATCTGACAATTTTTAATCACCCCATCATAATCAAGATTAGAAAACACTACACTTTGTTATTCATAGGGTGCTATTACAGATGACATTTGATTGTTGAATCATCTCCCAGGTGCCAATGGACAACCGAAAAAAAAAGTTAGTGTTGTGTGCCATTTGTCTGACACATAAAACCTGAAACACCGGAACACTTCTGCCATCGTGTGGTAAATTGCCACTGTGCAGTTCAGCAGAAGCAGTTCTCCAGCAGGTGAGCTAAATCATCTCCTCATTCTTGATCCAATAGGAACTTTCTGAGGAATATTGCTATCTTTTCACCTTCTTTGAAAATTTAGTGACTAACCTACACCAGTTTTGGAACGCACTACTTTGCAGAGAATGACACATGCAGCATGACAACTCAATGCAATCTGCCTAATTATGCAATTCTGAGCTTCAAGAGCCTGTTTTTGGTTTAAAATGGTATAATATTCCCCATTGTCAGGAGGTTTCCCTTCATCATGCTCACGTGCCACCAACTGCGGCTGTTAATAGCACCACCACCCTAGGCAACAGCACATATATAAAGAGCAGCTGGCTGATCAGTGTTCATATATTACTTAGGGTACCTTTAAAAGAGTTCTGAGACCCCTGCTTTAGAGTAAAATGTAAACCCACCCATTCTTCAAGATGGAGAAGAATTTTACATCAAAGGTGGAAATCTTAAAAAACAATCCACCTCAATACTTTCTCCTCCAAGTGACACTGGCTCAGTTAGCTCTTTTTTTTTTCAGGGAAAAGAAAAATAAGGTCAAATATTTCTTAATGGCTAAAATTAACACAAAAGCTTTGTTTTGCTTATTGAGCACAATTAATGTCAATATCTCTGAGCATCTCAAACAACTGGGTAGTTATAGTATATTTTTAATTATTCATGATAAAATAGTTTTCTCAGATCGAAATATAGCTGAGAGGTAAAGACAAAACCTACTTGCCAAGCAATACCTATAAACGCATGATGTGTACTATAAAACACTCCAAAATTCTTGAAGGTACGACTTGGGGGTAAGCAGAAAATATAGCTGAGAGGTAAAGACAAAACCCACTTGCCAAGCAATACCTATAAAACGCATGATGTGTACTATAAAACACTTCAACGTTCTTGAAGGTACGACTTGGGGGTAAGCAGGTGGGGCAGGGCAGGGGGGGACGATGACGACACAATCTTGTCCTGATTACTATTAAATGTACTAGTATATATACTTAGCCGAATGTATACTTACGCACTAAAAAGACTGCTTTCTGCTCATTAGCTATTACCATCAAGTCATTTGTTGGTGACAAGGACAACACACAGTCCTGAAGCCAGTAATTTCTCTGGTTCTTGGATGTAGACTCCTCTTCTTCCTACAGGTAAAGCTTTAATCAATGTATGCAACAATTTTTAAACACAGCGGCACTTGCAAGATCCGTGACAACATTTTGGCTTGCCTTCAATACCAGCGCCAAATAGACTATTACCTATCAAGTCACTAGAGCTCCAACTTACATGAAAAGCCATGAGAAATGCACCAGCCTTGCACTAATTCTACCTGCGTGTTTACAAAACAGAAAACAAAGTAGTACTCATCACTAACTCTACTCCTCAAAATCTTCTCCTTTCACCAAAGAGACATTAAAAGAATGAGACTTAAAGTTTTATTATTATTCATTAGAGACTGGAAATAGTTTCTTTAGTTATTCTCATTATAATCCATACTCAAAATAAACAATTTATCCAAGCTTATACACTGACCAGCATTGAGTAAATATATGCACCTATGAAGAAAGTAACTAAGCTGGCATTCACAGCCTCATGGTAACATGCAACAGGGTATCATCATGTGCCTTTCCACAACAAGGAACTTAACAAAGAAACAAATTCAAACTAAGACGTGCCAAATTTTAAGGGTTTAACAATGGGTAAGTTAGATACCATCACTACGTATAAAAGCAAAACAATTGCATCTTTTTTCCCTTTGAGTGAAGAAAAAACATGGGCTGCTCCTGCTAATCACAGTTCAAAGGCAGAAAGTAGATAATAGGTTTTAAGCAGAATGCTACAAGGTCTCTCAGAAATGCTACTCCTGCTTTCTTAGCTCCATCCTCACCTTGATCACAGCAATGAAATCACTTTCCCCTGTCCACAGTTTCCATTTCCACAGCCACATATCCAATTCTACCTCCTCCTAGCCCACCAAAATACTACTGCATCCTCTAGTATCTCAAAGTAGCTATACACAAAAAGCCCAACAACTTCAGTGTGATCATTTTCTGATCTGTGCAATTTATTCTGTTGTAATAAAGCTGCATGTACTTGAAAATATACACATCTACTCCAGGCAGAAAAAAAACTGCAGGAAGAATTTACATATCATACTCTTAATCGGCTATTCATTATATTTATTTCCTTTCATACGGTTGTACTGTAAAAACAGTCACTTTGTGCACAAAAGAATATCCTGTATGTCCATCATAAAGTCTACATTAGCACAGTACAAATATTCAGCTACCTGTCTTTGTCCACACTATGACTTGCTTTCTGCAAGACAACATCCTATTTTCATTTTTGTCTGTCGATGGATACCAAGTTCTATAGCAACACATTTTCCCTAATTACTGACATTTTTCAAAACTTTACAAAGGAGTGATGAAGTTGACTGGGATACTCGTAACAACCTTAACTCCTCATGACAGAGATCAACATATCATGTAAAAAAACATAACCAAAACCCAAAGAAAATCCTTTTAGTAATTTTTAATGTAATAATTTTCAAACTGAGGAAAAAGAAACAGAAATGAAAGGCTTCTCTAAGGATTAAAAGAAATTAAAATTATATCTCAGAGAATTTAAATTAAGTTATCCGCTTACACAAGCAAAGAACTTGAAATCTAAAGACATAAAATATGGCCACCTCATGTCAGTGACAAAAATAAGCTAAGAGTTAAAACAGGAAAAGCACTGAACTTGTCAAAAGAAACTACTTTAAAAGGTGAAAGACAGAATAACTAAAATCAGCATTTAAGACAGGATTTCAACATCACCATCCCTACAATCGCTAATCAGTTTCATAAAAAGACACTCATGGAAGAAAAAAAATTTTTTTTAAATTTGAAATCTTCTTTTTTTTTCTTTTTTAATTTTCAATGCCTTCTCAAAAGTTGCTGTGTTCCATGAAATAGATACTTGTGCAGGTGACTTGAGTAATTCCAAGAAAAGATGCATTTTACATCAACTATAATGCAAATCAACCAATAGTTAAAAGTCTTAAAAAGGGAATTCATTCTTATATTATACTAATAATTCTCAACTCCGTGCTAGACTGATGCACTCATTTTGGTGTGTGTTCAGACATAGAGACTCACATATTTATATGCTTCTACACAGAACAACCTGTTTGCTGTGGATGACAGTCCATCCTTTCTGAAGAGTTTCACCTGGAACCACTAGCAACTTTATAGGAAAACAAGTAAGCAGAGAAGGAGGTATTTAGCAAGAAGGGTGTGAACTACCTGGCAGAAGAGTTTGACATTTTAAAGAGTGAAAAAGACGACAATTTCAACTGAGCAACATCTGCTGGTTCTATCAAATTACAACATAAGTAGTAAACAAAGCATTTGTTCTCCTCATTAAGGAAGTTATAAACTTTACAGCACATATTACAAACATGTGGCCTGAGAAATACCCTCATTTCATGGCAATTATAGGGGAGCTGAATACCCATCCTATTCAAAAGTTTTTATACTCTTGTTATCCCCCGACATAAGCATCAGTGATTCATCCCTGGGAGACACCATGCTTGTTTCAATTTCTTTCTCACCTCAGCTGAAAAATCTGTTTCCCTGCTGAAGTAAGTAGTTACAAGGATACTGCCCAACACCTTGGGCTACTTGCTGCATACTGAGATAAAGACAGCAGGTAAGAGAGTTTTGTTAGTAAGGTCTGGATTCCTCAGTCTACCCCCTTAGCTCTCTAACAGGGAATTAATTAAGCAATTCTGTTCAGATGATTCATTCAGGTGCAGATGATTTCTACACAGACAGCTTCCCTAACATTTTATGCAAGTCAGCTGGCAGCTAGAAGTCTCATCCTTACCAACAATTATAGACTAGCCATGTTATTCTTAGTTGAACTAGTTGGACAGAGGGAGAGCAACTTTAAAGAGCAACTGTGCTGCCCAATCCTACATACATAATTTGATTCCTCCTGTAACAACATCCACACATCACAACATAAAAGGAGTATTACGTGACCATTAGAAAGATGCTTGTGTCAGTGGTTCATGATTTAGGAGTGTCTGATTTATATTAATTCATGGTAGATTATTATAACTCCACTGCCATGCTCTACTGTCTCTGGCTAGCTATAGGACAAAAAAAGATAGCCCCAGCTGCAGCAGCACAGAAAGATGTGTGTATACTCTAGTGAGAAAAAACCTACAGAATACAAGAATGTGAGTATCACAATAGGTAACATCCAAGCTATATTTAGAAACAATTACAGGAGCAAGGGACAAACAAGCAGTCACATTTAAAACACTGGTCAAGATCCTTCCTGCCCAGATGCTAACTACATAGGAGAGGGAAAAAAAAAAAAAACCACCACACACACAAACAAGTGGAAAAGTCTTTTAGAATAGGCAAGTTAGCAATGAAAACTAATATATATGAACTTACAGGTTCTTGTAATTCTGCTTCATCCCAGGCTCCCCAGCCACCATCTTCCCAGTTTGTTGATTTGCCTGCTTTAAGCAAAAAAAGATTTGTCACATGAATACAGGACAGACAATGAAAAACACAATCAAAAAGAATTGCTGGTGGTTGTTTTCCTTTCCCCGCCAATGTATTGTAACTTTGTTTACAGCAGATACTAAATGAGTTCTACAGAAAGAACCATGAAGTGGTAGAAATGGCTGTCTTATTTCTCTGTATTTACCGCCATTTTTGACACTATGGAGAAGTAGTAACAGAAGATGTGACCTAAGTACAAATTGGAAACAGGTGTAACACCACCTGCGGCAAATTAATTCTGACAGACTGCATCTAGAATTGAGGTCAAGTAACATCTTACAGTGCCTGGTACAACACATCATTGATCCTTCAACAGGGCCTCTCTGCACTTCACTAGAACAAATTATTCAACCAAATGTGTCTTTTCTCAGTTTCTCCACAGCCATTTCAAGAGAGCCAAGACATATTTCTACTTTTATACAGCAAGCTGAGGCAAAGAGTGAGGGCATAAGGCGGGGAAACCTCACGTGTCCACTTGACAAAAACTTTATCCGGCAGGTACAGAGACCTAAGACCTCACTGCAAAATTTAAGCTTTAGCTTGATTTATCTAATTGTTACTACTCCAAAGACAACAAAAGCCCCATCTTGTACATATCAGGCAGCTACAGAGGGAAAGTAAGGGGACAGCAGGCTCTCTCCAACTCTCCAGGACTTCACGTACCTGTCCCCAGATACCTCACTAACTGACATAAGATGACTTGTAACACACCACAAGAACCACATATGCACAATTTTATAAGAAATAGTATTTCTATACATAAATAAAATATCTTCCTCTCCATAACGATGGATTTTGGATTGGTTTAAGTCAATTGCAGGTTCAGCCAGTAGCAATGTAAGTTCATTTTAACAGGACATGGAAATTCATCTGTGACAACAAAACACCTGAGCCCAGGACAATGCAGATCCCACCATCGCTCCCAAAGCAGGCAAAGCAAAAGCTGAGGCTGTGGCTTCTGAGGGGAAAATGAGCACAAGGACCTTTGCTATTCACCCCTTTGCAAGGCAACACAGAGGAAAATTAATGAGACACTGATCAGTTTCAATTATGTCATTCAGAAACCTCAGAGAAACCACAATCTTACAAATTACCTCAAACACCTGAGAAAACAGAGATTCACAGAGACAGGCCTACTTTTCAGTTGTCTTATAAGAGTTAATATATTAGTCATATAAAAAACATCTGAAATTCCTTCATCTAAAAATACAGAATTTGATGTGAATGTAAAAGCCTATGCAAAAGGTAATTACACACAGGCATTTAGTAGTAAAAGATGTACAGTTCTCAAACACCACCATCATTGGGACCCTCAATAAGTCAGTAAGCATCCCCGTAGTTCAGTAGAAAAGCCAAGCACTAACATGAAATCTGAAGCAGTAACATCACTAAGACTTCAAGACTTTTCCAAGGATTTCTTTTAAGTTTTTCATTAACTGATATCATGGCTACATTTACTTTAAGAAGAAGTTTAAATGCCACGTCTCAAATTAGTTTAAATTTAGTTTTAAACAAGCAAGATTTTGCCATTTTGGATGGTCAAACAGTATGGATAAAAAGGTTTGTATCACAAACACTCCAATTTTATTTGGTCTAAAACTCTGGTTCCTTTACCACCGAATAAAGCAAGGCAGAATCCAGGACAAGAAAACAGAAACCTGTATTCTGTCTGTTCAGGCAGATTTTTTAACTTTTGTATGGCTAATGAAGACAAAAAAACTTCAAAAAAAAATTTTAGCTTAAGAAAAAAAAAAAACTTTCCACCAATGCTGTTGAGAAGGTATTTCCAAGACCGTAGAAGACAAAACACCCACTCCATGAATAATCTTTGTTAAAATTGAAAAGTCTGTACCATCTACAAAATGGGTGAGTCAGCCAGTTTTACTGCATCATCATCAATACAGATCTGACTGCACTGTTATTTCAGGCATAACTATATCAGCAACAAGCTTCCAAGGGTCATGGTCTCATCTTGTATTTGAGACTGAGAATTTTGCAGTGTACAAATATATAAAGGAGAATCATGGCAAATACTTTTGAATATAAACTGCAAGAAGAAAGCAGTAACTAACTTCAATGTGTAGTTTAAGACAGCTAACAAAATTCTACTTCTGTTTGCATTTTATTATCTCAAAAGGCAACAAAATCTCCTTCCTATAAAATTCACAGATGAAAGAAATCTGTCAGCGTGCCACAGTCCGGAGAGAAACATAACCATTTCCAAGAAACACAGCTGGGGCCAATGCCTTCCCCTACAGCACAGAGCAGACCAACCTTTCCAAGAAACCTCAGCTACTTCAGTTCTGAGACTGAACACCCAACATAAGACTTTAACTGTGAGGATTCTTGCTGCCTCTTTGTGAATAGCAACATTTCCATGGTTTTTGTCATCTTCTTCAGATAAAGCTAGATCAATCAAAAAAGGATGGAAAAATGAGGTAATGGTAAGGCACCATCTTACTGATGAAGCTGCAGAGATCTTTCAGAACTGTGACCTGCCCTGCAAAGCCAGCATCTCCTCCAGCTTACAAGGGTTCACAAGCTTGCTCCTTCATATTCAGCCTCCATGTTGTATAGACTGCCCCTGCATGCGCTAGTCGTGTATTTCTCAAACCTCTGCATGCATTCTTTCCTTCTTCCCATACATTCATTCTTAAAAAAAAAAAAAAAATATTAAAAATAAAATTGTTTCCTTATCCATTTCATTCTGACACTTCACCTGTGCAATGACTGGTGAAGCAGGGTATTAAAAAATAGACAACTAATCTCTGAAACAATGGACAGAGAAGCAACAGAGGGATACACCCGCAATACTTTAACTTAAAGCACACTGTTATTCACCTGTGCCAATGAATTACAAAATATCGCATGGAAGCTGTCAGCTTGCAGAGACTTTCCTATCCACCAGCACCTGACAGTGCTGGTCAAGTGAGAGATGACACAGGATCTAAATTCTGTCTACAAGGAAGATTCTGAAGAAATACCCCACCGTTTTCTTTAGTAACATTACAGATTAGAACTAGCAACTGTGGAATGAAAGACATTATCTAGTAACCAATACTTAAACAAGCCCTAAACAGTTCTCAACTTGCAACATATTCATTTTTTCCAGTCCACAGTTAGGAAAAAATCAAGCTTTCCTGTGCAAATCTACATTTCTATTCATCTCCACCTCTGACTAGTAGTAGATTTCTGGTAAACAGTTCTCCCTATTCTGATAAAGCAGCAGCAATATGTCAGATTTTGCTTTACTGCAGAGATTGCAAAAATAGAAGTTCATCTACTGGGTCTACAAGAACCACTTCACTCTTTAATTTGAAGCATATAGCATTACAGCTCCATCATCAGCACATCTGAAACTTTAGAGCTGCTTTAAATGCTGCACATTTGCAGGATTGGTGATAACGTATAAGAAAATTCATTTCGAGCATATTTATCACAAACTTAAGACCCAAAAGAATGATTTGTACTAGTAAGCACATTTTGTTTAAAAAACAAGAAAAGAGGAAAGAGAAAACCTTAGCAACAGACTTAGACCAATGAGGTCTAATTCGCATTTAACAGGCCAAATTCAATATGAAAGATGTTACTCGAAGACTTCCTCCCCAAATCGCAGAGTATCTCTCTCTGAGCGCAGAAAACTGCCAGTGTCCTCCCTTCCAGAGCATCATGATGACTTGGGACAGGTAGCAGAAGCCTTTCCCTCCTACCCTCACCTCTACGTTCCAGCTCTCTGCAGCAGGTACCAAAGGACATGGTAGGCATGGGCTTGCCCAGAAGACTATATTTGCCCAAGTGGGAGAGCATGTGTTGAAAACCGGACCCCCAAAGCCACAAAGGTCAAACTACCCCTACCTACATTGATGCAAAGCTTTAAAACAAGCATGCTTATGTTCATAGATTATTTTTCAAAATAGGTAAGAAAAATTTCAACTCATACACAAGCCAATAATCTGTCTTCAAGAGCTTTTAGATTACTGGCCATAAAGTATCAAGCTGCATCAGCCAAAAAACTATTTTGTACAAGTCATACATCAATTCGTTTCATATCTTAATGTACTGGGTTTGGCTGGGATACAGTTAATTTTCTTCATAGTAGCTGGTATGGTGATGTGTTTTAGACTGGTGATGACACAAACACACTGATGCTTAGCTATTGCTAAAAAGTGTTTACACAGTATCAAGGCCTTTTTTGTTTCTCACACTGCCCTGCAGCGAGTGGGCCAGTGATGTGCAAGAAGTTGGGAGTGGACAAAGGACAGCTGACCCCAACTGACGAAAGGGCTATCGTAGCTGCTACACATGACAGAGGCCTGCTTTCCTGGAGATGGCTGAACACCTGCCTGCTAATGGGAAATAGTGAATGAATTCATTATTTTGCTTTGATTGCACACAAGAGTTTTTGCTTTACCTATTAAACTGCCTTTATCTCAACCCACAAGTTTTTTCTCTTTTACCTTTCCTGTTCTCTTCCCCATCCCACTGTAGGGGGAAGTGAGCAAGCGGCTGTGTGGTGTTAGCTGCCTACTGAGGTTAAACCATGACAATTAATCACATGTGTGTAGTTTGTTTGGTTTATGATCTTCCAGCTTGTTTCCCATCCACGCTTTAAGAATTTATAAGATTAAGTAATAGTGCAAGAAATGATTGCTTATTAAGTGCAAGAGTTTCAGATTTTTTTCCTTGTATATTTACTGCAATTCTGATACCATTGAATTGCATAATTAGTGAAGAAATAGAAGCAGTTTCTTTTTTCTTCAGGCCAAGGAGTTTTAGAAATAGTTTAGAATCTTCTTGCTATTCAGTAATCATAAGCCATTTATTTCCAAAGCTCCTCCGACATGGAGACTGAAATATATTAGGGTGTTTTGCCAGCATTACTAGGAAGCCCCTTTTGAGACTAGTATCACATTTGTTTTCTCTTATCACTTCAGACAACGGTAAGTGGAAAAAAAAAAGATGACACTCAAACTAAATTAGCTTGCTATTTTTTCTCTTCCTTTAGATGGTCACAATTGCTTTCAACAGAATAAAAGATGACTAAGTTAAAAATAATCCAGGTACTACATAGACTATTTAAAGTAGTGCTGCAAATTTCCATGGCTTACAGTTGTAACTTAACTCCAAAAATAACGTCTAAGGTACCACGGGGGGGAGGGGGAAGCTTTGTGATGCTATATAGCACAGGAAACGAAACAGATTATATACAAAACAGTATTTCAGCTTTCTTTCAGCTGCAAGTGACAGCTTAAGTTATAGCAAGAAAGAAGGAAGTCTATCCAGTAAAGGAGGTGCTAAAGCAGCAAAAAACTCAGGTGTGAAGACAATTTGGATAAAGTACTCTGACACCATTCTGTCATGTGTGTTGAGAGCATGTAATTTAGTCTTCCCCGTATCTCAGAATGTATTAACAATTATAGACGTAACACAATGCAGGTAGAGTGCGTATTTTTATGATATTTTACGTGAAAACAGAAAGAAATTAATCTTAAATGTATATAATGCAATCTGGAGAGGGAGGATCTGATTAAAGAGGCAATAAAAAAGAGCTTATCAGAAGACTCTTCAATAGGAACATACCAAATTCAATAAGAGGGATACAGAAACAGTTAAGAAGAACCCTACTGTTAAATGCAATCTAGAATTTGATTTTGTAATTGTTTTTTTCTTTGTAAACTTGTTTGCAACTCTGAAATAAAAAGCCTGGCCTTCTGTATTTCTGAATTAAATTAGTTGATCCAGATAAAGCAAAGTGTGCAAGCACAACTCCAAAGTTGTTGTTTAGAGGAACTGGGCTGAAGAGCACTTTTCAGGATGCTGTCAATGTAACTGGGCTGGATTTTGGAGAAGAGTTCCTTTGCCAGGCTTAAGCCATCGTTCTTACTGTAAAAAGAAGCAGTAAAGTGACACCTCATAGCTCTAAGCGACCCCCTAAATCAGGGGGTCGATTTTTTCTTCCCCCCGAATAAGCAGCAGCATCTCAAAGCTGTGCTGTGCCACACACCGCTCTGCAGTGACCAGCTCACTATCATAGATGCAAGTATCATTGCTTGGGAACTCTACGAACATTTCTTAAGTTATTTCAGATTAACATATGATTGCATAACGCAAGCAAGGAGAACGACACCAACCCTTCCTTCCAACATTTCCCGAACTGGGAGGAAACAGACACCTGCAGAACTGACTTTACGTAAGGTTCAAAGGAGAAGGACACCTTTTTTTTTCCTCCCCAGTTTACCAGGCAAGTATATCCTTTGCACAAACTGGACAAACTGTTGGGCTACAGAAAAAGATTCAGTGAAGTTGTAGTCAATAGGACACTTTTCATCATCTTTTTCTACTGTTGAATGTGTTTAAATGTTTACCTGTACAAAGGAAGGAAAAAAATGCAAATTTTTTTTTTTAAGTCAGTTACCTACATATATATTTTTAATATACGTAGCACTTTGATAAGCCTTTTCAAATTAAATTTGAAATTGACAATCTAGATTAACTTACTATAATTAAATGGAATATGTCGCTATGACATATGACTAGGTGAGAAGGTACAGCTTTTTTATTCATACTAAAGGCATCTAACTTCTAACTTTTATTAAAGTCACAGTATCACATAGTGATTTAGAAATGTATACTGCTTGCATTTTCAGAAGTAAGCAAATTCTTTTCGTTTATAACTTATCTACAAAAACGCTTTTATGTTAACCACCCCAAATTGTAGTGAGGACAACAGACTCACAGAAAATATTTTTGTTAGAATGAAAAAATGACCAAAGCTAGAACAGCAGAAAAAACTTCTCTGATCTATAACTAAGAAATCAAAAAAAAGAAGACCTATAGCTTCTAACAAAAACCCCCAAACCCACACACTGAAGATCCTGGAGGCACCTTTTCAAAAACATTTGATAACCAAAAACTGACAGGAGCTTTTGAAAATTCTACTAAGACCTAAAAAATTAAGTTACCACTCAAAAAAAAAAGTAATCAATTTGTTAATTGAAATACCCTTTGTTTAATAAAAATATTTAATATGAACATTCATTTTCCTATGGCAGCCAACATTTTTTATTTAACTATCAAGTTCAAATACTAGTGAAAGAGTTTCCATACAAATGCAGCATAACTTTTAAAAAAAACCAAACACACAAGAAAAAATGGTAAATAAAAGGTGCCAGTTCTCCAGGTTAAAATAAAAAATACTCATGATTTTGACATGTGTTTATTAAGCCATGTTGGTTCACATATAAGCAATTACATAAATACTAAGTTTAGTACAAAAGCTGTATTTGATAGCAAATGAAATATTTTCTTTATTGAACTTATCAGTAAAAACAAACTACCCATTAGGTTTTTATCCCTAAAGAGTAAAAATATAAAAGCAGGTTAAAATTCAAGTTTTTAAATGTACAACTTCAATAAACTACTGTTTTAAAACAGTACACTCTGCCAATGGAACAGTTTTTACTAAAGCATTCCTTGATAAAAAAAAAACATTTATTTATATCTTGCTTAGTTAAAAATATTTTCCCTGGCTCTTTGTGCCATAAAATGCAATATGCAGCTTAACTATTCAGTTTGCTAGGCCACAAAGTAGCAGTAAAGCAGATTTGGAGAAACAAGTGTAACAGGAAGAAAATCTCCTGCTCCACACAGCCAAATCCATTTTTTTCTAACTTCAGATACCTCCACAATTTACTTAGTTCTAACTTAAAATACCTCTGCAATTTGTAACAGTGTTTTTCCCTGTCAAGGATGAATGCACTAAGGATACAGCCAGCTGAACATGAGCTGGCAGTGTGCCCAGGTGGCCAAGAAGGCCAAGGGCATCCTGGCCTGTATCAGAAATAGGGTGGCCAGCAGGAGCAGGGAGGGGATCGTGCCCCTGTACTCGGCCCTGGTGAGGCCGCACCTCGAATCCTGTGTTCGGTTTTGGGCCCCTCACTACAAGAAGGACATTGAGGTGCTGGAGCGTGTCCAGAGAAGGGCAACGAAGCTGGTGAAGGGTCTGGAGCACAAGTCTTATGAGGAGCGGCTGAGGGAACTGGGGCTGTTTAGCCTGGAGAAGAGGAGGCTGAGGGGAGACCTCATCGCGCTCTACAACTACCTGGAAGGAGGTTGTAGTGAGGTGGGTGTTGGTCTCTTCTGCCAAGTAACTAGCAATAGGATGAGAGGAAATGGCCTCAAGTTGCGCCAAGGGAGGTTTAGGCTGGACATTAGGAAAAACTTCTTTACTGCAAGAGTGGTCAGGCCTTGGAACAGGCTGGCCAGGGAAGTGGTTGAGTCACCATCCCTGGAGGTATTTAAAAGACGTGTAGATGAGGCGCTTAGGGACATGGTTTAGTGGGCATGGTGGTGGTGGGTTAACGGTTGGACTTGATGATCTTAGAGGTCTTTTCCAACCTTAATGATTCTATGATTCTATGATTTCTGCTTCAAAATGACTAGTTTATAATCACTTGTAAGTTAAAAGTCACTTGGGAACTCTTACTTGCTTACATTCATGCTCATTTATCCTGAACCATGAAAACAGCTGTGGTATCAAAAAATTACAGGCACAAATCCAAAAGATTTCAAAAAGTCTAAATGAGCAGTATTTTGAAAAATACTTGATTCTGACACTCTGCCTTGATGACTGAATGAGCAAATATAAAAATAGTCCAGAATACAGCCAACTCATTAAAATGGAAGAACAGCACATTTTAGAACATATATCTTCTTTGCTTCTATCATTTTTGTGGTTTTACAACATATTAAATGTT